GAATAGAAGCCCATAGATAAAGGTATATTATGAGGAAATTCAAAAAAAATTTCCCGGTTTTGCCCCCTATTTTCATTAAAAAGTTTTTTTTGTGGCACACCTTTGGAACTAGGCTCATTTTACTCGTCATGCTATTTAATATAAGGAAAAAAATTTTTACACGTATTTCAGTGAAGGTGACATCCATTTCCCACGATTTAAAGTAAACCCGATTTCGTGGGTATTCCTAAAAAATTTTTTTTTATTAAAATGTGAGACAAAAACGGGAAATTTTTCGTAGATTTCCTCATGTGCAAAATACCGCAAATCTTTCAATGTAGAAACTTTAGGGATACAACTATACCGTATTGAAAAATGACCAAATTTATAAACCAACAAGAATTTTTTCCACAAAATATATAATAATGAATTTAAAATAAAATTTTATACAAAATTATTCGTCCATTATAGATCTTTATTATTTAAAAAATTCTTCCATAGTTGAAAAAAAAGATATCTTGCTGTTTTTCAGAGTTCAATAAAAATTCATAAAATTGAAAGTTTCAAAATTCCATTTATCACTTACTTTCAATAGTCATATCAACTTTGACTTTGACAAGGAAACTCATTTTGAAATTTTAAATAAATGTTGGAACAGTCCCGAAGTGCTTTAATCTGATACATTCGTATTATAAATGCATTATTTCAAATACATTGTTAAGAACCATTGTATTTTATCGAGGTATTTGACATAAATAAAAAAAAATTCAAATATATTGGAGCAAATTATTTTAAATACTTGATCAATTATAATTGTATTTGAAGCAATGTATTTCGAATGCAAATACATGTTGTATAATTAATTTGAAATACTTTCTACTTAAACGTTACATTTAATACATTCGTATTATAAATGCATTATTTCAAATANAGGCTGAGAAGAATTTGCGAAATGCATAGTGGTGAAACTTACTTTCTTACATATTCTAAAAAGTCATAATCACAGTGGACGACAAAATTTTATGCAAAATCTCCGCAAGTGTCATTAAAACATTTATTGCACTGGATAGGCGGTTTTAGAAAAATTATAGTATGTTACATCATTTCGTCAAGTGGCGCGTACCATATCAACTCCAGGAACCCCGCAAATGATCATAAACGTAGCGTAACTAATTAGATCATCAGGATATGTTTTTCGTTTTATTTTCATGACGTAACGTCGGGTCGGCGAGCGTGACCGACTTATTCATGGGCCAAATGCAAACATGGGCGTGTCGGTTCTCGAACAGCCACCACATCGATTTTATAGTTTTTCTTAAGGATTCTGCGCAAATTGAATCGCTTATTCAACACTATGCCATAAGTGTACGTGAACCATCAAAGTTATTACGTACCGAAATCAAAATATTGAGTCTCAAAGTTACAAATTATAATCTGTGTCTCCTAAATTTACCCAAGTTTCTAATTTACGCAAATTTCTCGCCGAGGGAGGAGAGTTAAAAAATCGAAAAAATCGTCCACGGCATTTGGATACGACCCCTAAGAGTCCTAACCATTTGTTTAATATTTTTATTTTTTATCGTACATTTAAATGATCATTTATAATTACCTACTTACGTAATTAATAAGTTTTTATAAAAAATATACTCAAGAGTGTTTGTTTCATTTAATTTTTCTGTTTTATCGTTGCTTGTTTTCATTGTAGCCTTGGTATAGTTCATTGCAGCAGGAATAATTATACTTTCGATTTTATTTTCAATTTTTTAAACCGTACAAGATTTTTCAAAAAATTAAATATGAAAGCTGTAATTGTAATGAATAGCAATAAAATCATTCATCTTAAACAATCATCCATTTGATGTAGCATCAACAACATCTTAAAAAAACAATTGTCAATTAAAATAATNTATTTATGTACTAAAAAATAGAAAATAATTGATAAATTGATTAATATTAAAAACTAGTGAATTTTTTTTTAATTTTCAGTCATAACTTTCATCTGCAATTATGGTGAACAATAGTTTATTTAACTTCTAATCCTAGAGTTCATTGTTTACAAAATCAAGTGGAAACAGAATAGTGAGGTAAGACGATCCATCGCCAGAGCCATGAAAAAAGTGAAGTACCTATAACCACAAAACTTCTTCTAATCTCAATCCGGACATACCGACAAGACAGAACAAGTATGGAATAAAAGCATATAAAAATTCACTTTCTAATCTAAGTCACAGTAGTAATTTGGTTGACCACCATAAAAATCGTTTAAACAGTATAATATGTATTGTGTTAGCACTTGGAGAATCATTTTAAAGTCTAGTTTATAAGTTTTTAAACTTACAATTAATGTTAAATTTTTCTTTGCATCTTTTTAAACCATGTTTTAGTTATGAAAAAACTCTGGAATACTTCTTAGATAAAATATAAATTAAAAATACAATTACTAAAATATGTGAAGGGAGAAGAACAATTATAAAGCTGAATCATAACTACGAAGCTCATTATTTTAAGTTTTTTACAATTATCATAATTAAAATTAATTTACTCAATTTAAATCAGAAAAAAATTACTGAGAGATTTTATATTGTAACTGGAGTGCAAACAAAGCTAACAGCAACTCATACAAAAACAATACATTACAAAAAAAAATTGAAAGTTAAATTTACCCAAAATTCTTTCGTTTAAAAAGTTTATCTTACATTTTAAAGTTATCTTAATACTATTAATATAAGGCATTTATTTAGCCATACAGAAGTCAAGAACGATTTTTAGTACACCTTTTGATATCTTGATGTGTTGAATGATCTTTTTCTCAGATGGCTCGAATTAATTAAAATTTCTAGTCTATTATGTAATCAATGATAGTAAATTATAAAAAAAAAATATATTTTACCTGTAAGTAATATAGGATTGATACGTAGACAGTTTACTCTTCGTCTTCAAGTCAAGGAAGCGTCGAGAAATACTGATCGCTAGTGCTGCGTTTACTCTACCAACAGCGAATATAAGAATAACTAGCGCAGCTCCACGAGAGTCATCTGAAGTAATTTGTTCCGCCGTTTTTTAGTTCGATAATTTTTTTTAGTATACACAAAAAGTACATTTGCTCTATGCGTCATTTAAGTTTAAAAAACAAATATTTTAATAAGTTAGAAGTATACTTACGACAATTTTGAGAAGTAATCATGGGAAATTTGGATTTGCTTTTACCCTTGACTTATACTTTGTAAGATTTAAGATAAGCTATTTGGTTATTTTTTATCAATGTCATTCCATTATAATACCGTAAAATATAACAATTAACTGCAACGCAAAAGTAGACTATGATAAGTGAAGTGAAAAAAAATGGGTATAAGTCAGTATTTCTACTAAGAACAAATGGTTATATGAATTGTGAAATATACTCCAAGTATGAATTAGTTGTGATTTAAATACATCATACCAATAGTTTTTTCGAAAATATCATAAATAAATACCATATTGGTAAATCGATTATTAAACGTAAGCAGTTGTATAGGCACGTAAATTTTTCCTTGTTACAGAGAAAAATATCAAAACCGGTTAATTTTTTGTAAGACGCTCCAACGAGTTTTATCTGCAATTGAAAGTAGTTTTTTTGTCATTTATTCGATTTATCTATAAAAAACGTCTGGAAATTAATATTTTCAATTTACTTGATGATATCATCAAGAGATAAAAATATTACTTGTTTGTTTGTGTTCTGTCATTTTAAAGTGAATTAACAAAAGTCTTCAATAAAAATTGTCATACGTATAGCAAAAATTCAATGATACTTACGAGGAAACACTTTTTGAAAACCTTGCAATGTGATGTGTCACTTTTCCACGACATGCCATGACTAATTGCACTGTTTGTAATATAATAATTGATCATTTGTGAAATATCCTAGAATTAAAACAAAAGCATCTTATTTTAGAAAATATGTCATTAATACGTATGTCCAAAATATCTTGTCACTACTGTAATGAGTGTTTTTTTCTTCAGATTTTCCGTCCCATTATATGACCAGTGGTAGCATACATAATCACTTGTTCATACTCAACACGTAACAGTTTGAATTATTCCTTGGGTGTACGTAATATATGTGTGCATATTCATACACATACTAGAAAAAATTACACACGTGTTTGTTTGCATACTAAGCATAAAATTAAACTCGTATGTAGGCGTGATAAAAAATTATTCACGCTCTATCACTTGATTTGAACTTTACGCGTCGCACAATGACGGATGCGTGCATAAGACTATTCTTAGAATTGAATGTTTTCATAGAACTAGGATTTAAGTTGTGTATGTGGCTCATTGGGTATGTTTTTTTATTTTACATTTTTTTTATCAAGTTTGAAAAAAATTTACTTTAAAAAGTGGAGTTGATAATAGTAATAAGAACAGCAGCAACAACAGCAATAATAATAATAATAATAATAATATGTACATATTTCTTGCATGAAAATCAAAAGTTACAGAGATAAAAGGTCTTTGCAAACTAAATGTAATTGACGTAGGTTAAAAATAACAATTTTTCTTTTTTTTGCCAACCTGCATTTGATTTACTGTGCGGAATGGTAATGTTTACTGGAATTTCTCTATAATTTTTATCATTTTTTTTCTCTCAGTGGTTTATTCTGTGGTGCGTCTTTCGAAATTTTGTTGAAAAGTTGCAGTATTTAACGCTCTAAGTTTTTCTTTTACTATTAAAACAGTAAATTCTGAAGGCAGTCTTGCCTCTGAAGCAAGCGAGGGCACGACGCAGCGCTACGAGTAAAATTCGCAGATTGCACGAGTATACTGTGTTGCCATACATGACGGCGCGTCGTGAACGTTTAACACCCAAAGAATGATAAAATTAACTAAAATCCAACAGCTCGTAAAGTCCCGGTCGTCAAACCTGAATTTATGGGTGACACGATAAAAGTTGTTTTTACTCACTGTTATCTTTTTTAGTTTGTATCATCACAGTTTAATACTTAAAAATAGAACCCTCAATAAAATTGACATCAGCATTTTTATCATAATAGAGTATGGATTTATTAGGAATATGAGACAATGGAGAAGCGGTGAGAAACAAATGATTTTATTTTTTTACTTTATTTACTTTTTAAGTTATTTGTGACGATCACGACTCGTATTTTTTCTGATTATCTTTTATATACACCAGGTGATCCTATGATCATCATCTCCTATCACTGATAGCGGTACACCAAGAGACATGTATAATTTTTCTATTTACCTTTTCATTTGTATAGTACAGCAATAACACTTAAAATGATGATTACCATTCGAGTTATTGTTCGGATACATTGAATCAAAAGTTTTCAAATTACTATGAAATATAAAGTCAACCTTATAGGATTAGACCTAGGCACGTTCTTAATCAATATCTAGCTTTTTGAAACTACCCTCAACCCCAAATAACTCGGTGGCGGTTTTGGGTTTTCCGAGACGTTTTGACTCATCAACTCGTACCAGTCTCTCCTCTTCGATAAAATAATCCCGATGCTTTTCGATGTCCTTTATAACCTTGGCGTAAAGATCCATCATTTTACCAGCTTTGCCACCTACCTCGTCTGGCAGGATATCAACGGACATGTGTTTTGCCAAACTATCTACATTAGGATGTAAGTAAAGCTAAAAAAAGAATTTTGTATTTTAATGATTATAAATTACATTTTTGACGAAGACTTCTATTCATCAGAAGTATCAGAAGGTAGTTAATCCTATGAAGGGCCAGACATTACCAACAATGAGAGGCTAAGACTTTTCTGAACGTTGATTTACTCTTTAAAGCATTCATTTTTCTAGTTAAGATAACTGTATTTTAAATTTAAAAGCTTGAAGCAACTAATTTAATAAAAATGACTCAAGTAGTAACTGTACGAATTTGACGCTGTTAGAAGTAAATTAACTTAAAAAATAGTGCTGGTCCCTTGTACTATTTCATCCAACCCTTACTATTATGTTCTTTTACTTACAAAACAATTATAAAAAAAAGCACAATGAGAATAATATTATACTAACTATGTCCATGAGTTCCTTTTTCAGAAAAGGTCTTATGAGACCGAGAATAAAATCCATGACTGACGACGTGTTCAAGAAGTGCAAGGACTTAATTCTAAGGGGTACTGACTCTTGCAAGTAGTACACGAATTTTTTGACAGCCATTGGTGGTATACGTAGTGCGTGGCCCATTTGTACGCCACTTATGTCAGTGACAAGCACCTGTCCCGGCATAGTTCCCGCTTGTAGTAACCACAACTCACTGATCATATTGTAGAGTTTCATAGCGTCGTAGAATACGTATCGGTCTGGATCGTAATCAATCAATCTGGCGTATATCACGCCATAACCTTCTGGTGTTTTATTTTCCAATGGTATAGCCAAGCTGAAGAAAAAATATCAATTAAACGTTTCGGATGAATTTTTCACCTTTTGTTTTCATTCTTAGATTTTTGTAATCAAACAATTGTTTCGTTATGACAAGCTAAGTATGATTTTTTTTTTAATGTGAATTATTGTGTGGTTATAACAATGTAAATTATTAATTGTATTGAAATAAAGTTGTAGTACATTTTTTTTGCACAATGCACAAAAAATGTTCTTGGCACAAAATAAGGCAAATACATTTGACGTACATTCTCTTTGTCAAAATAAAAAAAATAAATAAATGAAAAAAAAAAAAATTATTTAAGTAACTACCTTTTGATGTTTTAAGTTATGAAAATAGAATGAGAAATACTTATGATAATGGTAGTCTTATGCCATGTATGAAATGTCCGGAAAAAGACCCTTTTTCTGTATTCAACTCTCATTGATCTGACTATATTATTCTATTGTTATTATTTTTACTATTGTTACTATTAGTGTTAGTATTATTATTTCTATCAGTACTATAAATTACTTACAGAAAGTATTTTAAAACAATCATTTTAGTTTCTAAATCAAATAAAAATTAATTGAAAAAGTTATCAAACGAATATTCATTATTCTACACCTCGGTTTTACTTTTTTTTAAAGCGTCTTTAGGGTGAATATTATGTAAAAAATTCAATGGAGAAAAACTTACATTGTTTTCATAATATTTCGTATATCTTTTGAACCTATAGGATCTCTATTAGAAAAACATTCTGGTATATGCGTTCTGGTAGTCAAAAAACTCTCAATTGTATTTTTTGTAGGTTCCAGGCGAAAATAATTGCTATGTAAAAACATAATCAAAGCATTCTCATCTATATAGTTTGGAAAGTGAGGCTGCTTTTTATACCAATCCTTTAAATGCTGAATATCATCTTCCCTTAATTGTGGGTTTCTCTTATATTCTTCTTCGATCGGTATTTTCTTAAGAGTATCCATTTTTTTAAACTGAAAAAAGCAATGACTTATAATTATTTTGAAAAAATACAATTTTATTAATTTTTTAGATGTGTATATGATATTAAAATGTATGTATGTTAATTTTTTTTTCTATCCAAACTTATTATGTATAAGGTTTAGCAATACTTAAAAAAATCTTTTTGATAATGATTTCATGATCATCAAGTATTCGGTAGGATCATGTTTGTTCGTCTGAAATGAAATAATGAGGTATAATCGTAATCCTAGAAATTTTTTATTATTTTTCGCAATTTTAGAAAGTCTCTTTCGACTTTAATCAAATTTCTATCCCCAGATAGTACTTGCTCTTAAAAATCCAACTGTTTTATTAAGAACAAAAAAATTAACTTATGTTTAGCCAACTCAGCTGTTTTCATAATTTTGTTTATGAGCAGAGAAATCATTGTAATGGACGACGAAAAGTTTGTCCAAGTTAAATGTCATAAATATCCTCTATTCAAGACTAGTCTACACTATTTCAGTTTATTTTCAATGTTTTTTTTTTTTTTAATTTTTTTTTAA